AGAGTTTGTATATTATGTTTGTGAAATAAGAGTGCAGATCATGAAATTGTATCCAACATTGGTACAGGCGGAGGTTGCCTTTTTATAGGCTTTCACATAGCATGACTAGAGTAAATGAGAAACTGTTGGGATTTGAAATAGCATTTTTCGGTTACAAAAAATTGAAATTGGTGATTAAAACAATTTTGAAGCTGGTGAATGATTTCCAAAATGTTACCGGCTATGAATTAATGTCACCGGTTACGGTACTTGGTTTTATCCTCTAAGAAACGCACAAAACCATTTCTTTTTAAAAAGCAGGAGGGCATGGGTAACTGACACAAAGTTACTGCACTTTTTTTTTTTAATTAAAATCTCCAACATTCCCCCTCCATTTTAATTAAAAATAAAAGACACTTAGAAGATGAAAAATATATAGGCAAGGATGGATTATCATGCATAATAGAGGTAGCAATGCCTTGAACCTCTACTTAGTGAGTCAATGATTCTTATCCCAAAGTCACTAGTGAGCAAAGTCTTGAACTAGGACTACTTAGAAGATATAGGAGACCATATTACACACATTATAATCCAGGTGTTAATTTGAGCTTGGTAAGCCAGCACATTACGGCCTTTGTGCCTAATCCTGGTATTCATGTATGATCTAAAGAATAGCCCTATTCTTATAGGAGCGGCCCCACTCCGACATCCATATAGGTGAAATTTGTCAAGGATGCTCCCATAACTAAGACACCCCACTCTATGAGCTACAAATTTTATTAAGAGTATAAAACTCAACCCTCAATTCGTTATAGGATCGATGCATCCTCACCTTAGGAATGGGATCGAAAATTTTTTTTCGTTAAATATTGATACATCTTTCAACAACGACTTCTCTATAATTCGTTTTTCCCATTCAAAACCCAATTCTTAGAATTCGGGTTGGGTATCCTCATAGGAATTTCCACATTATTGGGTTTAAATCTCATTCCCCTCAATGAGCACTAGACCTTGGACTATGATCATAGATTTTCCTCCAACTTTTGTTTTTGCCAAAGGCCTAGTTGGTGGTATAGTGGGTAACGAAGAGATTTAACTCATTCATATTTCTCAAATTCTCAATTCATGGTACCACAATTTTTGATATTGAGCTAGTGAACCACCTTTTTCTTTTCATACATGTCAAAACATGTATTTAAGAATTTTTAACTCAAACACCATTGTACCTTGTTGTACAATAAGAATGTCCATCACATAGGAGTGTCCATCACATACTCCTTTTTTCAAATGTCTTATTATTATATTTTTTCCATCATACACCATTATACCATAATTGTATAATAGGAATGCATATCACATTTATTTTGTTAAGCACCATTATACCTTATTATATAATGGGAGTGCATATCACATTTGCTTTGTTAAGCACCATTACACCTTATTGTATAATAGGAATGCAAAATCTCAATTAGGCATCATTGGTCTCATCACCAATAATAATACATAAGGACATTACAATCCCCCACATTAAGAGCATCTCAAATAATTGAGTTCATGAAGAAACTCATTTTGCTCACAAGATTTTTATAAGAGCATATTTGCTCATCTCACTTTTCATCGCCACAAAAGGGTCCTTGG